ACTGCACAATGATGCACATGAAACAGTGAAGTACAGTTGTTGGGCAGCACAAAAGTGCAATCTGATATTCCTGTGAGGGACAGTTGGTGCAGTGCACAACACAACACCGCTGTGCTTCTTTGAGGTGTTTACCAAATGACCCAAAGAGCGACTTCAGCATAGGAGGGTTCATTGCATGATGATTGGTTATCATTTGACTAAGAATGTTTTCGTCCCCTGTACCTTCTCTTGAGCGCAGGTAAATGCCATGGTATAAGAGTTCGGGGCAGCCCCCAACATGTTCTCCACAGACTTCTCAGACCTGGTATACATGTACATGTGTTAAATATACAAGGTATTAGCATATTTAAATGTCAGCTGGAGATGAGTCATGTTTTAACCCATCAGCTGTGCCTGTGTTTCGCCAGATCGTGTCCTCATGTTAAAATCATTACATGTACATGTAATTGAATCAACTTGTCAAAGCGGACTACATACATTCAAAATCTTTGGCTTAAGAGCTTGGCTTCTACTCATTTTTCCCTCTGCACAGCACTACACGTACCAGCACCTTTTTGTTTGTACTTTTATGATAACTAATCATGCACTTCCAACTCGGAACAATGATAGTAAATATTCTACCTCTCTGCACCAGAGGCCAACTCTTCAGAGCTGGTAACTACAGAAAGTTGCACAGCATGGAAAATTTGATTAGCAAAAGCAGGTTACCAGTCAACATTTGTTGAACGTATAGATTTTGCCATTTTGTTAAGCAGCTATTGTCAGCATGGTCAGCTTCGCAGCTTTTTACTGTTGGGCTCTAGAGTTTCTGGCTGGTAACTTATTCAAATTATGAATTAATTAACAGCCCTATGCTGGATGACATATAAACCTTCAGGGCAACCCTTTAAACAGAAAAAAATTAGTTGGTAGCCATTGGTTCCTAATGGAGAAAAATCTATGCGCCAGCACTATATTAAAGTTCAGTATTCATGAACGTACATACACACATGTAGTATAAATACCCTGTGTTTACATCGTCCATCCATGCCGTAATGACCTGGCATGGCCCGGTCCACGTACACCACACAATTTGCATACGAGCGCCAATGACGCCAGTCAATGAAATCAGGGTTCTCTCCAAGGGGTGCCGCCACGGATGTTATGATGTCTGTAGTTTCAGCGTGTCGCAGGACACCTTGCTGCATAAATTGCATTATTTCCGACACTCTAAATCACAGCGACACCCTTTAATTCGGCATGAGCTCCATTCAGGCAGAAATTTACGTTGCAGCAAAAAATGGAGCCCATGCCATGCTATGCCATGGTTTGTAAAATGGCCCTAGTGTCCAAATACAGTGCATCAACAACGTATGTTTAGATCAGGAGACAACTGAAATGTGCATGCACTTGTGATCACGACACATGCATGTACAGTATCGTATTATGTACATGTACAGTGCACTTGGTGTTACATGTCAGGCATGCCTAGGAGTCAGTGTTGTCATAACTTGAGTCAATGACTCGTCTCGAGTCTGACTCGAGTCACATTTTTGGCAACTCGGCTCGAGTCCTGACCAGTATATGACTCAATTTGACTGGAGCCTGTGACCAAATGACTTGACTTGACTCCCATGAAGACTCCCTTGACTCGAGTACAGGAAGACTCGAAGTCTAAAAAAAAAATAAAATCGAAATATTTTTGGTGAAAAAATATTTGGAATCTGACTCATGGCGCTGCTCTTACATTGATCGTGAATACATAGTACAGGATGTATGTGTACATCCGGCACATGCACATGCATGGAAAGCATACATCGTTTCGCAGACTCCCACGTTGTGTTTCTGTAGCATGTAATGCTAACCCGGAACCAGACTTAAAACGCTTTCACTTCTCTTGGTTTCGTCTTTGGCTTTTTTCAAGATAACCCTATCTAGTACCTCTATCGCCACTCTGACGCCATGAACCCTTGAACAAAATAAACAGGCTTCATCTCTGGATTTAGAATATAACCCCTGAAAGTGACCCAGATCTAGCCCCATTTTAGGGTGGACGCCGAAGCCAATGCCGAAGCCATCCTTTCGGAAATGGTCTTTGCTGCGCACGAGCCTGCAATGGAAGTTGTTCATTGGGTATCATACAGCATATTTTATGTGTTGGAATGTTAAAAACAAACTGGTTCCGTGTTCCTTCCACCATTGTGCACAGCAAATGACAAGTGTGACTTCGCCAGTTTTGTGAAAGACTTAACAAATATGGAACAGGCTCAGAGCTGTAGTGGCATACAGACTCTGTAACTGTAAAATCAAAAAAGATAAAAAATAAGCATTCAACATCGTGCAGATTTTGCAAATCAGACATCAGTGAACACTGAGGGACATCCTCCCATAGGGAAAGAGTGCCATATAAGTTAACAAAATAAACAGGCTTCATCTCTGGATTTAGAAAATAACCCCTGAAAGTGGCCTATTAATCAGACCACACAGGCTTCGTCTTTCATACAAGTTACTGTCAGATTTGGTGTTCCTTAAGTCAAACCATGTGAGCGGGTAAACCACTTACACAGGATTACAGTGACTTGACTTGTTTCGCCATTAGTTAGCTAGATACCTGTCACCCTAATTTATTTTCAGTATGCCTTAAATTGAAAATAAAAATGCCAAAAATGACTTAGTTGTGTTTTTATTGTATTTTATTCAAAAATTTGTGACTCAAATTGACTCGAGCTCGGTACTAGACTCGAGCTCTTGACTCGACTCAACTACACAAAGTGGCTTGACTCAACTTCTTGACCTAATGTCTTGAGTTGACTCGGGTCACAATGTTAAAATGACTCGTTACAACACTGCTAGGTAATACCATACCAGACACACTTGAAACTTTGTTCCCGCCATTGAGTTCCCATCAAAGGAGTGTTCACAGCAGATAGAGTACCAAAGTGATCAAGTCATGCGTACAGTTATGTGTGTAAAAGGTATTAGCGTAAAAATGCACGGATGTAGTACTCTATTATTTTGTTTGGTTTGCACTGCACTTTCTGGTTCCAAATGACGTCTCACCTCAACACTCTATAGTGGAATGAGATGGGCAATGTAAGTAACAAGATCTGTCCACTTTGCTTTTCCTCAGAGTACCACTTTTAAGCAGCTCATGTTCTCTGGCGTGGGGATTCTCTGTGTTTATGTCTACCTGACGCGCATCATCCGTGAGCCGTATGCTGTTGAGATCCAGCTAGGGCTGTTGGTCACATTTTTCATCACGTGCATGAACATAGCACCCATTGCAGATATGGTGAGTAAAACAGCCATGCATTTGTACATCGCAGGTCTTGCATTGTCAAAATTGACCATATGCTTGATGGTCACTCTTCAATGCTTTCAGTGCTTGCTGACTCCTTTTACCAAACTAATTAAAAAAATCATAGTTTCATCCCTTACTTCAAGGACCCATGAAGTTGATGTTGTATTGCTTTAGTCAGAGGTTTTTCGTCCCTATATGGACATGCGTTCATGACTGTATACTCAGTGTTGTCTGGGAGCTTGCAAAAAAATTCACAAGCTTACTAAGATGGGACTTGAACCCACAACCTCCTGCTTAGTCGTGCAGACATATTAACCAAACTTCAAAATGGGTTCCACCTAAGTTGGCATGACAACACAGCCCTAAGGTGTCTAAAAGAGTGAACACATTTTAATTATTACAAGAAGTAAACTTTCTTTTTTAATTAAAGAAAAAAAGGCCTCATAATGTCAATTTCATTCATAATGTTTCCGCCACAATCTTTGTATCATTGTGAGGCCTTCTTTTTTGCAGGGTTGTGATTGCTCCCCAATTTGGGGATTTTTTGAGGTTTTGCACTTTTTACCTTAAGGAAAATGCCACATGTAACTTTTTTCAGCAAGATACACATATTCATTGTAATTGTGAGAGAATTCAGGCTTGGTAATTGTTTAAAAGCCTTGATTAAAAGTCTTGATAAGCACAGCACTTGCAACCCACTCAGTAGAAATGACATTTCTTGATTGCTGTTGCTACTTCCGAGTTACCGGTCTTTAATAGAATCTTGCACTCTACAAGTCCTTAGGAATGTCAACATGTATTCATCTGCACAATGCCCATTTTCTTCATGATGCCAAAATGAATGACATCTCTACACAAAAAAGCTTGGCTTACTTTTTCTAATGCAAACTGAAACAAAATTAACCAAAAAGGTCTGTCTTATTCTCACGCAGCAGGTCAGCTACAGTATTATTGTCGATGTTACAACTTTCCCCAGTAGTTGTTTTGCTGATTTTTCTGCATCCCCCAATCTCCCTCTTGTTGGTGGCAGGGTAACCTTCTCAAGAAGCAGTCCAGTGAAGGGCTGTCTTTATCCATGGCCTCTGCCATCTTTGTCACTTCAGTGCTCTGGGTGCTGTACGGCATTGCAGTCAATGACATAGCACTGTCGGTGAGTTGGATGATTCAATCAAAATGCTTTTGTGGAAGTCATTCCACAAATTGGGAATCCATGTGACTTTTTTTTCCCCTGTTACATGTGACCTGTGTAATGTGTCAAGAGAAATACCTTTGAAATTGACTTGACACTAGTTTTATTTGTTTGGAAGATTACTGAATCACTCTTTGAAATTAAGGAATTCGTTCTAATTTACAAAATCATACGCCAGATTAAGAGGAACAGGAAAAAAATTGCACGCCAAATTTATGAATCATCCACAAATCTGGGCAGATCTAAGGCTGTAGGATTAGCAAAGGGATTACTGATTTTTATCTGAAGTGCCTGGGCATTTTTTTAACAGCATTCTTGAGTGGGAAATTCCATCGTCTGTCAAAAACTTAACTCTTTGCTGTGACCCAACCCAACAAATTGAGCCGCAAGTTTCCCAAGCCACTTTGGTTTACAGGCCTCAAGAAACTAGTCTTCAGTTGAAATCAAGAGGAGAACTATTGACATATTCACTCACATCATGCCCATGATCATCACAGGACCAAACTTAGTGGTACATCTACACGTAACAAAAGCTCAGTTTGGTTCACCTAAAGGAAAAGTTCAAACATAATAAAAATACCTTAGGACTCATTTCGTAGGGTCTGGCCACATTTTCTTCCTACATAAAATTGAAACCCTCGTGAAGAAATGGTACAAATGCTGAATCCAAATTGTAGCCTTTTATGGATTCCCTCATGTTTTTTTAGGGTGAATGTTAAAGGATGACCCTTAAAAAAGTATCAATTGGTTAAATATTCACTCACAGTGTTTGTGTTGACTTTTTGTGTTTGCATTATGAGCTTTATCATCTGTTGGAAAAAAAATGATGGTAGTAGGGCTGAGCTATGTGTAGATCAAGTAATTGAATATTTGACTCTTTGACCTGAAATTGGCAATGAATATTTAAATTTGAAAATGAATATTTGAATATTCCATAATTGATTAAATACTTTGTACTTTGTACTTGAAAATTTGTACATTCTGCACAGGCCTAGTTGGTAAATACATATAGAGTTTTAAAGAACCGAGTTGTAGTCAGTTTTGGCTTATGCTTGTAAAAGACTGCCAATAAACCACTTTTACCCCATTAGAAACTCCACAGTAAAAATGTACATCACTAAAAAATAACGAAAGAACCTAACCACCAAACTGCACAAAGTTTCTCATCTGTTTGTTGTAAACTTAAACTGAGAAACAGGAAGGACAGTTGTTCCTCTGATTTGACCACCTGGCTGAACTGTCGCTGATGGGCCATATGCCTGACTTCTCAGTGTTTCCTGCTCGTATGTAAAAACAATTTGTAAGCGATATCCACAGGCATTAGTAAGTTTGAAATGAGACCAGCCTTGTCATTAAATGACAGTATTCAAACAGGTTCATCTGTTCAAGCTACCCTTACTAAACTTTTCAGCATTTGTTGTTAGAGGTCAATGGACATCCGAGTATGCAGCCTCATTTTGCTGAATCTTACAAAGCAAAATGTACAAATCACTCAAAATTGCCATGGTCAGAATTTTCTTCGAGTTAAATTTACTTAAATGAAGAAAATAAAAGCAAAGTTTCCAGGTCAAATGCTTCTCTGGACTTGATGTAACAAACCAAATTAACGTAAAGAGAAAGGTTACATCTGATGAAATTTGTCTTTCCTTCCCTCAGGTGCCAAGTATATCTGGTGTCGTGTCTGGCTCAATTCAGTACTACCTTCTGTGGTGTTACCCGTCTTCTGGCAAGGCCATCAAGTCCGAGTGAAAAAGTGAGATTTCCTTTCTGAGCTTCATGTCATCCAAAGCCAAGTCAATTTGCCATATGATGGGAAAAAAAGACATTTACAAATTGCTTGCACAGCTAGGGCTGTTTCATGCATGCTCTTGTTATCATGATCATGAAGTGATCCTCAGAATCCAGATGGCATAGAGTATAATCAAGGTCTCTTATTTTGTGACTGCATTAATAGGTTTCAAAATGTTGTGTCAGATTGGTTATCCCCAACTCCCGAAACGTTCTTTTTCTCCAGTGAACCTTCCCAATGAAAGTAAACTCAATATTGCTAGAAAAAACACAGTGGCTCCCTCTTTGAAGTGTCACGGGGAATAACGTCCATTGTAGAGTAAGAGGCTGTCTGAATTATTTGGCTATGGCTTGAAACTATGCATGACTGTCACAGGCTTGAGTGTTATTCCAAGCGGCAATCAAGAAATTTGGTTTTGGCCGGATAGTATGTGCACTGTACCCTCATTAATCCATCAGAAGCCTTCTAAAAATCATGGTTTGATTTTGAAGGATCATGTCAGAAGTTAGTGCTAAATTGTGGGCTAATTACTAGATGAGATCATGGGTAATAGTAATGATCTACATTTCTTTCATTCTCTTTCAGGAAACACTCTCCCATTTTGTCTCCAGTTGCTAGCCACTCATTCCCGCCATTTTTTAGTAATCTTAATGAGTGGCAGACAAGAGAATCATGCAGTTTACTCTGTGATTTGGGTGTAAGACATAAATTGCTTAGTCAGGGAGTCAGTTTTGTTGAGTGATGTTTTACCTCAGGCTGTGCTCTGTCCCACCAAAATACCTCTGCTTCACCAAAGCACCATGTATAAAATGAATTTTAGCAGTTAACAATATTATAGAATTTGCCTTAAAAAGATTGGTATTTTATTGGTCACTGTATTCTGTGCATGATTATGGTACACACAACATTTCAATTTGCAAGGCTGTTAATGTATTATCCTTGTTCAATGGGCCCATAAACTTTTCTAAAACAATCTCAGCTCCTGGCGAGTATGTGGCTCAAATGCAGCCTCTTTAGATACAAAACAAGCAAGCCCCAACAACCATCTCTGCCCACATAGGTACAAGTACATTTTGTGCCGTAGATGGAGAGGCAAGTAGGGTCAACATGACTTCCCAAAGGAGGCAGCATGTAACCAGCAGCTGAATTGGAACCTTAGACCCTATGATCGCTAGTTGCATTAGGCCACACTCCCCTTGATGGGATCTGCCTACTAAAATGTAAGAGCCTAGAGTTGAGTGGCTTGAGCAAATATTCAGTCATTACAGCAAATCTAACACCTACTAATTCCTAAATACACTGTACATGTACATGCACAGTTTTTGCATTCAATTTGACCACACTGCCAGTCCTTCAGAAAAACAGTGATTAAGCAGTTGACTCTGTCTTCTCAGAGAGAATTTCGGTTCAGATACAGAAGTTTGTGTTAAGGTGTCTTTAATTTCTATTACTCAATCATGGATTAAATAGATCAGATGAAAATAACTTTCTAATACAGACATTTCTAGATTACCAAAAAAGGAGAGTATAAAATGCATCATGGAATGCATGATGTTTGATTTCTTGCTGTGGTCTATCGAGATGTTGGGTCACGGAGGGGGATGGAATTTTTTTTGAAAGTCTGCCAGTTTTTTCCATTCATGAAAGAATCCTCACACTCCTCAACAAAGGTGGTTGTACAATATCTAAAAGGCTGACACTTTTAATCCCTGAAAAAAAAGGAAGCACGTCCCCCCCCCATATGCCCCCGGTACGTGGCCTAGTTCACATACCGACCAATGAGCATGCATTTAAAAATCCAGATTTTTCCTTATAAATACCTGAT